CCTACGGCCCGTTTTTCCTTCTGTCTTCGCGTCGTGTCAGAGAGGGTCGCCAATTATTGCTAACTGTTAGAACTGTTAGTCTCGCACATTCTGAGTACAGGTGCGTCTCTTGTTGTGTTGCCTCAATAACCCCCAAATTTAAGGTCCGTCCTCCCGTGCCGCGATCGTCGCCACTTCCAAGCGCCTCCTCTCGGAGACAGGGTCGCGATAAGGAGAGCCGTCCCGAGAAACATGCACATTGCAGCCAAGCATACATACATGACATACATGACATACATGACATACATGACATACATGACATACATGACATACATGACACACATGGCCTACATGACATACACGCAGACACACACACACACACACACGCACGCTCTTCCTCTTCCTCTTTTTTCTTCCTCTTCCTCTTCCTCTTCTTCTTCTTCTTCTGCTTCTACGGGGCCTAAGGACGCGTTCCCCCCTCCCCCTGCACTGGGCGACTGGCACGCCATTCCGTCCAGGTGACACACACGCTTTCTTTCCCTCTTGGAGCAGCTGCGACTCGGAAGCCCCTTGACGTAGGAAGTCTTCTTAAGTCTTCTTCTTCCTTTCTTTCTTTCTTTCTTTCTTTCTTTCTTTCTTTCTTGGGGGCATGGGGGCGAACCCCCGGGCGTCCTCGCCCGCCCCGGTATTCGGGGGGCCTCCGGTTGGGGCGGTTGGAGGAGAGGGAGCACAAGACCGTTGACTCTCGACCCCTACCCCACATGAAACCCCTAGATCGGTGAGCCCCTTATCCATTCGACTCCATTCTGTGGCCCCAGGGCCGCCATCATGATGGCGCCGTCCCCTCCAGCGGTGGCTGCAGGTTCAGGCATGTGAGTTTGGGAGCGCGCCCGTGCTCGACACTGCTCCAAGGCCAGGTCAAGGCTAATTGGGGTGTGCCCCCCGGCGGTTTCCCACCGTGACAAAACTGCAGCATCTAATTCCCTCAGGCAAAGGCCCCCCTCTCTTCCACCGTGTGTTAGTTGAGCCGAAGCGAGGCTGAGCTGAAGCGACTTGGGGCGACTTTGGTCAGGAAAGGGTGCTGGGTTTCACTGTATTCCCATGTATCCGTCAGTGTGCGCGCAGTGCGTCTGCGCCCCCCATGGCCTCAAAGCGTACAGTACGCATTTGGAAAGGGGGGGCAATGGGGCATCTCGTCTGAGAAACGGAAGCGGCGTGTGGCTCAAGCCCCGGGGGGCCCAGGGGGGCGGGTCCCCCAGTTCCCGAGACTTGAGCCAAAATGGCTACAGACTTCTCCCTCTCTTTCTCTCTCTTTCTGTCCTCTTCTGCTTCTTCTTCCTATCCACCACTAGCGTGGACACCCTTCCCCGCGAGTCTGGGTAGGGGTGCGAGGAGACATCCGTTCGGCGTCGGCTCCGGATTCCTGCAGGACCTCCGAGACGGGGCCTCTCAATTTCTTCTTCCTTTTCTGCGATGATTGGTCCCCCGCGCGGTCTCTCTTGCTCCTCCATTCTTCTCCCGGCAGATCTCTCTCTTTCTCTTCCTTTCTTCCTCTCTTCCTGTCTTCCTCTCTTCTTCTCCGTAGCGGAGAGGGCCACAGCGGCCCGTTTTTGTGTCCAGCTGGCCTGGTTCTTTTGAAGCTCCTCATCGTGATTTTCGCAGGGGTGCGGATGTCATTGGGGTCCATAAGGCTGCCACTCAATCTGCACCCGGCAGTAACAGGGCCTAACTGTCTGACTCACGTTTGCGTCGTTGATCTCTGTTGATCGTCTTGAGGATGTTTTCGTGAAGCGTTGGCGGCCTTCTCGTGCTCCCCGGCTTTGCCGTTCATGGGCGCTGCTGTCCCTCGTCTGACTCCGTGGTGAACATGTTGCTAAGCAAGCGTGCGTTGAGACATCGTCATTGCAACCTGCCATAGCCACAAGCCTTCGCGCGAACCTTCCGCGGAGCTCCGCTCTCCGAAACAGCTTGGCCAAGCGATGGGGCGCGATTCTTATGGTTGCAGGCATGTCGGGCGTCATTGTATCTAGGTTCCAAGAATGCCGACAGACAGACCTTCGGCGAGCCTTCCACGGACGCTTCCGTGCAGTGGGGGGTCCCGCTTGTCGGTGGCTCCTATAGAGGGGGCGCCTAGGACCCCTGGGACCCTTCCTGGGACCCCCTCCCCTTTTTTTGAGGCCTTTCCCAAACCCTCTTTCCTCCTTTCCTGTCCGTGGGCCGGCCCGGCTGCCGAGGCGGCGCGCGCAAAGCGTTTACAATTACTCGAGCGCCTAAAACACCAAGAAAGGAAAATTGGAAACACGTAGCGGGGAGAGCAGCGGGGAGAGCAGCGGGGAGAGCAGCGGGGAGAGCACGGTGAGCTGCGGATGTTTTCTTGTTCGGAGGGCGTCCTCTCTGCATCGGAGGTCCGCTCCTCTGATCGGAGGCTTTCCTAGCGATGGGAGAAACAAGAGGCTTTCACGATGTTCTTCCTGGCCGCTGGCCTCCAGATCCTCGCAGTTCTGCACCTCATGTTTCTCCCCAGCCTGAACATGCAGACCCGGTTTAAGGGAAACTGGAATCTTGGGGGCATGCGCGGACATGTTGTGACCCCCTCTGTGCAAACATGTGCAAACATGGTGCTAACTGCCACGGCGTGCATTTGCTGACTTATCCCATGTAAGGCACACAGATCCCCTCAAAGCAGTCCGGTGCCTGCAGAATCAGGCAGAGCTAGATTGCAGTATGGGGTTCCATGAACCCCTTCGTCACGAAAAGTTGGGACTCATCCCAGATTGCCGTGAGCGAAAGCAGGACAACACCTGACGTGCCCCTGATGAATGTACTGTGGCCTTCTCCAAGCGCTAAGCCTGGTCATATGGCCAGTTTCGACAGCTAACTGTGCCTCCGCCCTCTTCATTCTTTCAATCAAGTCGGAGAACCTCAAGATAGTGACATCGGTTTTGTGAAACAAGCGAGGGAGTTCTAATTTTGGCACCTTGAAGCTCAGTTGATAGGATGTGCTCAGCCACCAGCTTGTTGCACAAGAAGTCCACGCTGTTGTCGGCGCCTGAACGCGCAAGCTTGCCATGCGTTCGGCCATGCGCTTTGCCGTGCTTTGCCATGCCTGGCACGAGGCTGCGCTGCAAGCCTGCGAGCAGCCGGCTGACATCCAAAGCCTGCAGCGAAGCACTTGCGAAGCACTGGCGAAGCACTTGTGAAGCGCTGCGAAGCACTCTCATGTCTGCGGGTGACGGATCAAAAAATTGAAGAAGGATCCTTAAAAACATTGAGCCACAGAGATCAACAAGAAATTGCATTCAGGAACAAAAAAACCAAGGAGGAGCGGGTGGGGGTGTGGGGGGGCGTGGAGGGCGTGGGAGAGGCTCACGCAGAAAACCAAGCTGCGCGAGACAGACTGCTTGCCATTTGCAAAGAAGCGGGGTAGGGGGGGTGGGGGGTTGCATGGCTTCAAAACCCTCGGCACACCCCCCCCCCCCCGATTTGCAAACACAGTATTCGCATCAGATGTCTTCGACTGAAAGCCAAAAGGGCAAAATCCCTGGACCGGCTTCGCGGCTTCGCGGCTTCGCGGCTTCGCGGCCTCGCGCACAAGAGCCCACGACGGCCTAGGCTTTCCCACTCTTTATGGGTCTTGTTGAGGGTTCAAAATGCTTTGCAAATGGGTACCTTAGGTCTGCACAAGGGGTTTCAGGGGGCACCCATTTTCGGTTTTTCGATCCGGTTTACATTTGACAAGCGCCTTTCCAGCCTTTTTCTGGGGGTTGTAGTGGCAAGTAGACCCCTCGCTGATCCTCTTAGGATCAGGTCCTTTGGCTTAGGCTTAGTCACGGCTTCGTCTATGAAAAAGCTGCTCTCACAGGGTTTGAGCCGGCGCTCCTTTGTTAGGATTTCTCCCGGAATGATGGCACTTTCCCGTGGCCGACACTGGTATAGCCCTGGCCTTCCAGGGTTGAAGGTGAGCTTGAGTGTTTGTTTTCTGTTTTTCCCGAAGGCACCGTGAAGTGCCCTACAGCACACCAAGCACGCTCTCGCTGTGGGCTTTTGAGCGTTTTCACCGACGTTGAACTGATTGCTTTCGGGATAATCGGCGTCTAGTTCTTTGGTGTGCGTGCGTGCCTGCGTGGGTGGGTGGGAGGGTGCGTGCGTGGGTGCGTGGGTGCGTGCGCGGGTGCGCGGGTGCGTGCGCGGGTGCGTGCGTGGGTGTGCGTGCGTGTGCGCGTGCGTGCGTGTGCGCGTGCGTGCGTGTGCGCGTGCGCGCGTGCGTGCGGCGCGCGCGCGCGCGTGCGATGCGTGCGTGCGTGCGTGCGTGCGGGCGTGGGTGGGTGTGTGTGTGTGTGTGTGTGTGTTGTGGACCTGATCCCACCCAACGCTCGAGGATCCAGATGGTTGACAAAGGTTTGTTGCTGAACGTTGACGCCACTTCGTGACACTGGGCGAGGTCTTCAAGACGACCATCGAAAGCTTAAAGCTGGGGAAAAACAAACGCACCCATAGCCGCCTTAGCTGCAAGTTGCCCGCGCACCCCACACACCCCGCCTGCGGCAGGGGCGATTGAGGCAGCTTGGCCATCTCGCTTGAGCTCTTGCCCACTTGCATGGCAAGCAGAGTGGGTTGAGCAACTTCTTCTTGCTTTCTCGACGGGAACCCAAACCCTTCCTTGAAGCCTTTCCGAATCCCAGATTGTTCTGGTGCCCTACGGCCCGGCGGCCACCCAAATCATTTGCATGAGGACAAGCCTGTGAGCACGTCCTGGATACATGACATGTTCTCATGACACCTCGGCAAATAAGCCAGAGTAGAGAATAGGCATGGACCGGCATGGAGACTGTAGATCATGGCAGATCCGTACATATAAAAAATCTCTGGCGCCTGCAGGTGCCAGAGGGTTGTGGGCAGGGGATTTTCTTTTGATCGCTGCTTTTCGCAGCTATTCTGTCCTCGGATTCGACTCTGTACAGCTGTACAAAAGGTGTGAGTGTGCGTCTTTCAGTTCAGCTTACAAAGGATAAGGAGTGCTCTCACTCCCAGGGTGTCCAAACACGGTAAAAGAGACGGAGCGTGACCCAGGCGTCCAAGGCTGCATACTGCACCTGCTGACACGTCCATCGCAAAGAGCGGCAGAAGAAAAAAAAGGAAAACAGAAGGGACAAAAAGGGAGCAACACACAACTTGTGGCGAAGTAGGTGATCGAAACATCTGGGGAATATTTCGGGAGAGCATTCATCGGATGACACGTCGGAGTCGTGTAACAGTGTAACTCTCAAAACAATGCAGAGCATGCTCTTTCGGAGCATTCGGAGGATTACGCTCTTCACCTCTTTCCCCCCCCTCCCCCCCCTCCCCCCCCCTCCCCCCCCCCCCCCGCCCTTTTTTGTTTGGTCTCTTGCCTTGCCTGTGCTGGTGAGAGCGTCCTTAGGTGACAGTCTCCGCATGAGCGTGAGGCGCAAGGCACCGTGTCTCGAAAACAAAGAACAAGCTGAGTATGCGGCTGGAGAGGAAAGGGGCAGCAAAGGGGCAGAGCCAAAGGGGCAGAGAGCAACGGAGAGGAGAGCTCCTTGAAGTGGGGGCGTGGGGGGAGTGGGGGGGGGGGGACGGGGGGACGGGTTGGAGGAGAAAAAAGAGAAATGGGGGGAGTGAGACTTCAAAGCGGATTAAGTGGACGTCCGAGCGTCTCCACCGACCAATCCGAGCAGCTGCAGCTCCTGTCCTTTCTTAGGACATAGCCTCGGCTACTCAGAGACTCAGTCAGACAGAAAGCAGCAAAAGCAGAGAGGGCAGAGAAAGCAGAACTACTGAGCTACTGAGTATTGTCTCTTCGGCCTTTGGCGTTTTTTTGCTGTTCTTTCAAAAGTCCTTCTGAGTGTCTCTTCAAAATCTCCGGAGATCGCAGGCAAAACTGCTTCGTTGGCAGCAGGGCCACGCTAACAGGGTTGCAGAGGCAAGCAAAGGGAGACCCCCATAAAGCCCTCTTATCCTTAGACCTTGGCCTCTTTCTCTTCTCTCTTCTCCGCAGCTCCTGCTTGAGTCCGAGACCATTTGAGGTGTGGGATCGCAGAGTTATGGTTGTTTTGGGGCTCAGGGATGTGCCTCTTGACATGCGCCGAGAGACTAAGCAGGTGCAAGGCCGTGCGCCGCAGGCCGACACACACGTGGGGACCCGCCAGGAGCTGGGAGCACAGCGGCTGCCTCTCAGTGACTTCCCGCTCTCCACAACCCTTTTGCTGCAACACTGCTTTTCAGTTTATGCGGCGTTCATGTGAGTTCTCATCGAGACACACTGCGCTGGGGGCCCCGACATGTCCACCACAGAGTCTCTATACAAGGGAATTCCGGTGGTCATGAATTTGTCTGCATCTTTGCAATCCACGCCAAAGCCAACCTCTGAAAACAACAAGAACCAAGACACGCAAGCGCAAGCGCAAGCAAAAAGAGTCTCTGACACCACTTAATGACTGAGAATGACAACATGACAGGTGCAAATGCTGGGCCAAGTGTCCTTGGTCACCCATGGATTCACAAGCATCTGCTGCACAGGCAGGGGGGTTCTTCCAATTTGCTGCAGTTGGAGCAAGTAGACCTCGGAAAACGTCTTTTAAGGCATCCCCTCACGGCCCTCACGCAACTTTGAGTAAAGCTTTCTGTCTTTCTAGACGTTCTGGAGGATATGGCCTTGCACGTCCTTGGGAATGCCAACTGCAAGACCTCGGGCCCGAAGACGGGGACGGAAAACATCATTTAAGGCCCTTTGAGCGGCTTCGAATACTTCGAATCCATTTGTAGATCACTGTAGATTTACTGTAGATTTTTTCTAGACATTTGCAAGTGACGGAGATGGGATGATCGGAATCCTCGAGGTCCGGAACCCACTCTGCATCAAATGCCACAAGTTCTGCCATCGTCAAGTCCCAGCAGAGGGAGGTGAAGGCCTTACTCTGCATGCTATTCACGACCAGGATTTCCTGTGGCTCCTCTGGTAAGGACATGGAGGAGCCTGAAGAGCCAGAGGAGGGCCACGCTGCGTCCCAGTAGTAGTCAAAGGTATCGCAGCCATCCTGGAGTTCGTGGGAGGTCAGAGCAGCCCATTCGCGAAACTCTCGGTGCAGGTGAGGGTGCAAGGGATGCGTGGCGTGGTGCATGGTGCTCGTAGCACTCGTTGCAGCCGTAGCACTCGTAGCACGGTGCGTGGGTGCAGTGGGATGCCCGTGCGCCCTGTGCGCGTGCTGGTTGACTATGCTCGCCATCTGCCAAGAGCCGTGCTTGGGACCATGCAACGTCCCTTGCAGTGTTGCCGGCATTGCCGGTGCCGGTGTTGCAGGTGCCATTGCAGGTGCCCTGGCCATGGCAAGCTCACGAGGCTTTGGGGCAGCACCAGCCGTCAGCTCGAGTCATAAGAATCCGGGACCTTCTGAGCAAACATGTGCATCTCACTGAGACAATGGAATGAGTCTAACGAAGGCTGCAAGCACAAACAAACACGAGTCACCCGAAGCTTTGATCGCCGTCTTTTTAAACTTTGCGCTGCGACACAGGGCTACCCGGGCTATCGATTAAAATCGAACTCACGGGTGTACCCTTTGTATGCGGCCACGATAACCATGGGAAAGTCCTGAAGGAGGACTCAACGAGGGAGATGCTCCCCTTTCGCAGTTTTTTTCTCCACTTCTGAGTTGCACACCTTGTGTTCCTTGTGGTGTTCCTTGTGGGGTTGCCGCTCTCCACCGCGAACCGGACCCCAACCTCCGCGGCCTCCGCGGCCACCGCCACCACGGCCTCCGCGGCCGCGGCCGCGGCCGACCTGATGACCCCAATGATGCCCGGGGTACCCTGGATGTTCTCGAGGTCCTTCACCTCCTCGTGGAAAACTGCTATTGAAGAGGGCTGGAGACGTACTTGATTGCACACCAAAACAGTGTCGAGAGGGCTGCAGCTTATTCCTCCGAAAATCCACAGCATTGGGCATTTGAAAAACCCGAGACTCCCCTCTTGCCCCCCCGAACCCCTCTTGCCCACCGCCCCCTCGACTTGGCTCATTTCTTCGTTCGCAACCGGAAACACATCCTTCAGCCGAAGAAAAGTGCCTGTCTTCAGGAAACAAAACATGAGCGAGTCAAGAGATGGGAGAAAACGCAAGACAGAAACCAGTGGCATCATTGGAACTTCACTGGGAGGCAAAAGAGCAGAGCACACGTATCTTTGTCAGCCACGTTTTCCTCGGACGGAACCTGGACCATGCCGTGACTTGCGGAGACCTGGGCCCTGCAACGCAAGCGTTTGCCTGGGAGACGCGCGCGTCTCTCTACCTTTCAAAGGTCGCAAGTTCCCTCCGCAGGCCCTACATCGTTTCCCCTCCAATTTTGTTCTCCATCTTCTTGCAGCCGCCAAAAGGGTCAATCAAACTCTGCGTGTTTCTGTTGGCAATTCTTCCAAGTGAGAGAGCTCCGAGACGCTGTGTTAGTTACACACTGTGTAGGGCACGGGCTGGAGACAGGCTTCGACCTCGGAGCAAGGGCTGAGCGGTTGACGGCCCCTGGCCTGATGAAAGCAAGTGTTTTTAGAAGCAAGGCTAACGTTTTTCATTGATATCATGTGCCTACTTCCTTGCGCGTTTCTCGGCCCAGCTCTGACTGCAGACGAGGATCGTCTGTGTGGCCGGTCGGTACGCTGCAGCCTGCGCGAGGGTGCAAGTTGCTTGCTCACAGTGGAAATTGTGCACAACCAGAGAGCCCCCTGGCAATTGCCAGAGTGACTACTTCAACATGCAGGCGGAAGAGGTGCCGAGCCTGCCCACCACTTGACCTGCGCACGAGCAAAGTGCTCTCAATGTGCGTCGCTGAGAGAGCTCGAGCTCAATGGGTGTAATATCGAGGGGTGTCGATATGGGTGCTTTCCGTGTGTGCTTTTTCGTGTTCACTGCGTTTGCTCCGATCCTTTGGGGCCCCAGCTCTTCCCGCTCGCGGCGCTCTCGCTCCCGTTCCTCCACTGCGCGGCGGGAGCGCACGTCGGGCCTCCCCACAGCGCACTTCTCGCCAACAAAGCAAAACCCAAAACTATCACAAAGAAAGGCTCCCCCGAACCAAAGTTCTTGAATTCATTGCAAGGAAAGCCCTTTCTGACTCTTAGCTTCAGCCTTTCCACATGGCAAGGTGCTACTGCGATGCAATTCGGGGCCCCGGCGGGAGAGGCGCGGGCTTGGATGGCTGGATCTCCGGCCCGCCCCTTTTTAAGCGCAAACACTACAGCCACTACAGCTTCTCTCCCCATTCTCCACCTCCTCTATGTCTCTCAGACCCTCACCCACGACAAAAACTTGTCAGATGGTGTCACGGTCTCAACTTCTCTCTCTTCCTTTTCCAAGCCACTTGGGCTTCAGCAAGGAGTTTCGGGCCTCAGCACAAAGTACCCCCGCAAAGCAAAGCAACACCAAGGGCGCGCGCGCGCCACGAAGCTCTCTTTGAAGAGAATCTCTCAGAGAAGCTCCAAGTGATAAGAGAATGCGGGGAGTTTCGCAGGCGTCTTCGGCATCTTCGGGATTGGTGCAGTTTTGGGCCTCCCGGCCACCGGCTTCGTGTGCTTGGACTTGGGGATCCTGAGTCTGAAGAGTAAGAAGCATTCAAAAAAGAATTAAAAAGCATACTCGAAGCATACTCTATTTTTCTGCTTTCTTACATTACATACATTACATGTTCCAGGAATGTTCCATCATGTTCCTGTCGCACTTTCGCTGAGAGGGAAGGAACACCATGCGCAGCGTGCACAAGCTTGTGCTGAGCTTCGGGTTCCACGCGGGTGGCCGCGGGTCCTCGCAAGATTTTTAGCGCATACACCCCATGTCTCTCACTTGCCTCGTCTCATTAGCAAGGGCAAATGTGGCTACACACTCCCGCCTACACCGAAAACTCGCCCCTTCGCCTCCTTCGCCTCCTTCGTCTTCGTGTCTTCGTGAAGGGTGTGAACGGCCTGCAGGTCTGGCGTGGAGTGGCGCTGCGCCTCGGAGGAAGCTTCAAAATTGCGAAGCCGAAGCCGCGAGAAGCGCCTCCCTCTGGACTCCCCAGCTCTCAACAATGAGAAGTCTTGGCCTCCGTGGGCCCTTGCCCTTTTCCGGGGGGTCAACCTGGGCCCTTCACCAACCTTCCGTGCTGAGACAAGGTGCCCGAAATGCAGCGAGTCTGCCAAGCCTCCGGAAAGGGAAGAGTCCATCATTCCCGTGCCGAGATTCCCAAAGACACTCAGCGCGAGTCTGCCAGATATGAACACTCAAAACATGTAACTGTGTCAGAGAAAGAAGAGAAAGAGGGGGCCGGGGGATAGAGGGCTTCCAGCTCTCTGCGCCTGCTTCTCGGCAAGGTCGCTGGCAAGCAGCGCTCTTCAGGCTCCTCTTCGCCTTGCACAAAGAGAAGAAAAAGAAAGAGTCTGAGAAACTCAGAAAAGCCCTCTCAGCCTCACTCAGAGAGCTCGGATAAGTCTCTTTTTCTCTCCCTTTCTCTCCCTTTCTCTCCCTTTCTCTCCCTTTCTCTCCTTTACTCCTTCGCTCTGAGAGGCTCTTTGCGTAACACGCTCTTTAAAGGACACCTCATATTTCACGCATAATAACGGGCCTCAAATACTTCTATGCCCTCGCCTCGAGCGGCGGCGCAGATGCTGGAGATGGACCTTCCTGACTCCACGGCGGCGAGACTGTGAATGGAGGGCTCCCCAAAAAAGCACTCTCAAGAGTGCATGTGACTTACAATTCTAGCAAGTAGTACGTAGTGCTGATACGAGACTAGTTTTTTGTTCAACAAACTGCAATTTTCTGTAACTGCAGCATGAACCTCTATGATATGTTAGTCTCGCCTTGGTATCCTCGCCCACGCGTCATCCATCCGGCCGTGACAGTGTGAACCTGCCCTTGAAAGCGGAGATGGGAAATCATATGGAAAGCCGGCACACGTGTGTTTATGGTGATGGGACATGGCAGCCTGCATGCAGACCTTAGACAGTAGATCTCGGTCTAACTTGATAGAACGCGGTACAGAACGCGGTATAGAGCTCGGTATAGCACTCGGCAGAAATTGAGATGTAACAACTCCGAGCCATATTACATCTAGCGCTACACCGGGGCCCCGCTCTTGAGCCAGCATGTCAAGATTCCTTCACAGCGTTGCACCTTGATCCCTCCAAGCCCTTCAAAACTCCAAAACCGCCAGGCGCCCGACCCTGAATGCCCCCCTAATCTTCCCTGGATTGTTGCTTTGGTGACCTGGGGATGCCGTTTTCTGCCCCCAAAACTCGCTGGCGGCTCTTGCACACCAAATGCGGGCAAACATCGAAGGTCGATGTGGCAGATACGTCTGCTTTAGACGTGTGTCGTGCCTGGTGACCTGCGACGAAGTCCCGCTGATATGGACTCTGCGGCACGAGTCGCCGCTGCTTCGCGGGTTGCTTCAAGTTTGTTTCAAGCTTTAAGTAGGCAAGTCTCTTCGCTCCGCCCTTCGTCACCTCCCTCAAGACAGGAGGAGTCGCACAGTCGCACACTCTTTTGCAAAGCAGAAGCGCCTCTAATGAAGGGATCATGTGACGGAACAAAGGGTGGCGTCGCAAGCTATGCCCTGGCTGTAGGCTTGCATCTGATGTGTCGCCTACGCGTCTCGCCTCTGCTCCTCTCTTTACTTCTGAAGAGATAGTCGGAGAGAGACCATCCATTTTGAGTGGCAGATGGCAGATTTTGAGCAAAAACTCTCCTCAAGAAGTGTGTGCGAGGGATACAATCGTCAGCTTCGGCACGGAAGGATCCTTTGCCTCTGTGCCGAGTCTTGCTTTGCGCGCATCTTGGGGACGTGCCGCTGCGCCCACCGTTGTGCCAAACCTTTCAAAGTTTACAAGCTGATAAGCCTTCATTGCCTTTTCAACTTTTCAATGCCTTCAGACAAGTAGAAAGGGACTGGCTATACAGGCTGCACCGCGCGCTGCAATGCAAGGCACCAAGGTCCCCGGTGCGCGGATTGGGCACGACTGAGCCGGAGCCGTCGCCGTCAAGAGACCGACCCTTCTCAACGAAAGATGGTTTGGGAGGCTTAGCTTTTTGAAAAGACTTACTTTACTGCATGGAGGTCCATAGGTGGGGTCACGGGGGACCTTTCAGCTTCGCAAAGCTGGACCTCCTTGGCCGCTCTGACCTTCGTCCGAGTGACGGCGCCATCGCTGTCGCTATGTACATGCGCTAATCGTGAAGCGCGAGCCTTCCTAAAGAGCCTCTGAGCAAGGGACTATGTCGGTTATGTACTATCTTGCTTTTCATGCTTTGGACACACCTGCTGATCAACTGCGGGAGCTCTGCTCGGCGACGCGCGCTCTTTCGTGC